TCTGTGGGCCTCCATACCCACATGACTGTTTCTTGTATCTTTTAAAGACATATGCAGCATAAGAGTCATAGAAGAGAAAGAATTTACAATGAGCCAGTTTCAGTGGTGCACATCTATAGCCCCAGCACTCAGAAGGCAGAGGCCAGAGGGTCACCTGAGCTCAGACTGGGCAACATAGCGAGACCCTGTCTCAAAAGAATAAAATGAATTCACAGTGAAACAGAAACCAACCACTGACCAATGTGCTCTCAAACTGAAGTCTTCATTCCCACTCTCTTCCTCGAGAGAAAGTTCCTGATGACTTGAGCTATGTGGTTCCCTTAGCAAAGCAGGGAGGGCCGGGGCTCCCTCTCTACCCTCAGTCCTCATGGCAGGAGCTGATGGAGCAGATCTGAGGAATAGGACAAGGACTATAGAAGAGATTTGCCAAAAGGCTTCTGGGGGAAGAAGGCACACGTTCTAACAGAGAAATAAGGGATGCCCTGAACTTCTCCAACCAAGGTTGTGTGATATGGTGACCAAGCATTAGGGATCCGGCCTCAGTCTGGTTCAGTCCCCTGCTTGGCTACTTCCTAGTACACCTTACTACCAAGACATAAGTTTGGACACTCATTTCCGTAAGCTTCACTTCTTGCTATAAAATGGGCATGAGAGTCTAACACACAGGTGGACACAAATATTAAGAGTAATGATTATAAATGGATAGTGTGCGGTACATGATGTGGCTTTAGTGAATGTTAGCTGCATTCAAACAATGGGTCACAACCATTCCTGACTTGTGTAATCAATTCAGTGGTTAACCAGCATGGTTTTTGGTTAGGTTTCTGTTTTTAATTTTAAATACAGTGCACATTGTAGGATAAGAGTCATAAAATTATGGGTGTGTATACCTGTGTATGTACATGTGTTTGTATTCTGAGTTGCAACAAAAAATATTTCCAATTGTGGGTTACATTTAAAAGGTGTGGCCAGGTACAGTGGCTTACACCTGTAATCCCAGCTTCCCAGGAAGCCAAGGCAAGAAAGTTACAAGTTCGAGGTCAGCCTCATGGAGACCCAGTCAAAATAATAAAAAAGGACTGGAGATGTGGCTCAGTGATAGAGACCCCTGGGTTAAATCCTGGTTGGGGCCAGCGGGTGAGGGTATGAAGCCATTAAAGACGGATAGTATTGTGTGACCAACTTGGAGAGGCATATTTATGTGGGCTGCCAAGTGAGGTTCTGACTTTCTTCACCCAAGAAAGGGTGAAAGAGCCTGTGCAGAGTACATGCTTGACCTCCTCTGGAGCCTCAGTTCTGATACATTCATTTTGGGGAACTGTTGAATTTTTTACGGGTCTCAGCTCATGCGTCAGCCAAGTCATACATCCCCAAAAGAGGTGTAGGTGTAGGCCATTGCCCTTCTAACAGGAGCCAGCCATTTCTGTTCTCTCAAGCCTGAATTATCACTGCTCCTCTGCAAACCTCTAGCTTAAGAACTCTGCCTTCAGGACACCTTTATAATCCACCCAAAATTCCAAGTTAAGTGGCCCGGGTCCTTTTTATGTATCATATTCACTTGGAATATTTTCTTCTTGCCATACTCAAAGTTGACATTCCTTGAACGTTTGTCTGCTTAATTACTGAAGAATTTGTGTATGGGTACACAGGCCGGGTTCTGTCTTGAATACTTGATGAGCTTGTTGAGGTTGAATATAATACAAGAGTGCTCATCTGGGAGCATGCCACATGAATGGAAAATTGTAACCCTGGGTGCTCTTTGCTTTGTTCTCCTCTATGTCTTTTCTGACTTTGAGAGCAGCTCATGGAGAGTGAGGCTTCCCAGTACAATTGGGAAAACAATGGGCAGAGAGAGAAGACACCAGTTCTAGTCCCAGTTCTACAAAACCATCTGGATGAGCTTTAGACTCTGTTACAGCCTCTCAAACTTCTATTTCCCTATTTGCCAAGCATCAGTACTAATGGCCATCTCCTCACAGAGTGGCTGTAAAGGAAGGACTGATAGATAGCCATGGCCTTGAATGAGAACCATCTGAATGTACACAGCAAATCTGACATTTCTGGGCATCTCCTGTAGCATGCTCTGCCTCCTGTCCCAGCTCTCTTTGACAGACTTCAGATGATATCCAGGAAGGACATGCAGGATTCCCAAAACAGGCTGCCTCAGTTGGCTGTCACTGCTTTTGCTAGGGAGGTCTGGTGAGGGGCCATCATAGCCTCCCGAGTCCATGACCCACTCAGAGTCCCTCGGACTTGTATCTATAAGGTCCATTTATTGAAATAGCCTTTTTGTTCTGATTAGAAAAATAACACCCATTCATTGGTAAAAACCCGGAACATGTTGGACGCAGTAGTGCACACCTGTAATCCCAGTGGCTTAGGAGGCTGAGATAGGAGGATCATGAGTTCAAAGCCAGTCTCAGAAAAAAGTGAGGTGCTAAGCAACTCAGTGAGACACCCTGTCTCTAAAGAAAATACAAAATAGGGCTGGTGATGTGGTTCAGTGGTCAAGTGCCCCCGAGTTCAATCCCTAGTCCAAAAAAAAAAAACCTGGAACATATGGGAAAGTCTATAGAAATAAATAGATCATCTAAAATCCCACTCTGAAGGTAATTGCAGATTCCATGATAATGTCATGTGCACCTTTGCTTTCTTCCCTTGACACCAGAAGGAATGTTCCAGTGTCATGTAAAAATGTATGCACACCATTTTTTATGGTTGCCTAGTGTTCTGACTTACAGACTCATTTACTTCACCTTCATCATTGGACATTGTTTCCAACTTTTCGTTATTATATTATAATTCAGTGTTCAGATTGTTACCGCAGAAATAATATGACTTGGAATCTTATTTTTTTGTTGTTTTAATATTTCATTGTGATGTAATTTCAGACTTACATAAAAGTAGAATAGTATAAAGAGTTTCCATTTATCGTTCTGCCATTGCCATCACAGGCTAACATTTTAGACAACCACAATACAAAAAAAACCTGGAGCTGAGCATAGTGGCACACTCCAGTAGTCCCAGCTACTCAGGAGGCTGATGCAGGAGGACTGCTAGAGCCCAGGAGCTCAAGGCCAGCCTGGGCAATATAACCCCATGCACACCCTGACCACTTTAAAAAGGGGGGGGGGGTTACTGATACATTACTATTTACTAATCTGTATACTTTATTCATTTTTCTCTTATTGTCCCACTAATGTCCTTTTCTATCCCTGGATCCCACATCACATTTTTGGGGAAGGTCCTGGGGATTGAACCCAGGAGTGCTTTACCACCAAGCTACATTCCCAGTCCTTTTTAGCTTTTATTTTGATCCAGGCTCTCACTAAGTTGCTTAGGGCCTCACTAAGTTACTGAGGCTGACCTCAAATTTAACAATCCTCCGTTTTAGCCTCCTGAGTTGCTGGGATTAAAGGTGTGTGTTACCACACCCAGCTAACATCATTTTACCTATCTCTTTAATCTCTTCCAACTTGTGACAGTTTCTCAGTCTTTGTTTATGACCCTGACCTTTTTTAAACTAAGGTGAAATTCACATAAGGTAATCATTTAAAAATTTATAATTTCATGGTATTTAGTGTGTTTGTAGTGTGCCATCACCACTTCTAACTAGTTCCAGAATAGGTTTGTCACAGCCTTTGACCTTTTTTCAAGATGGGTAGGCCATGCTTTCTATAGAATATCTTTCACTTTGCATTTGTCCGATATTTTCCCATGGTTAGATTGAAGTTATACAAGAGTATCCCTGAACCATGGTTATGACCTCAGTGCACTGTGACACGTGATGTTGATGATGTTTCTTTATTGGTGACATTAACTTTCACATTTGGTTAAGCTGGTAACTGCAACATTTTCCTACTGTAAAGGTACTATTTTTCCCCTTGGGAATTAAAAAGTTTCTCATAATGAGATACCTTGAGCTCAGATTATTTAACTTACAGTTTTTTCAAAAGTCAAGAAACTTAAATCACTGAGATGGGTGGGAAGAAAGGGTATGAGAAGAACTAGGGTGGGTTGTGGTCGGTCTGAGACAATACATGACCCTCAAGTTCTCTTTCTGTGAAACAAAGGATCGTGTGAGTTACTTGAGGATCTTGTATGGAAGAGCAAGTCTAGAACTAGGTACAAAGATCTCTCCAGTGTAGTCTTGAGTCCTGTGAGGGAACACACCCATGTCTGCCACACTCACAGCGAACTCCTGTGGCTTCCAGAAGAGATGGAGAAGGCAGACCACACTGGGGGGGTCAAAGCCTCTGTGAGGGTATTGTGGGCCTGGAGAACTGGCCTCATTGTGTTTTTAACTCCTTTGGGCTTCCCTATCCCAACATCCTCTGTGGCCTGGTGGCCGAGCCACAGCCAACACCCAGAGGCAGGTGAGTGGGCAGCTTGGGAGAGGCCACAGGGAATATCCACTGCATGAGCAGGCCTGATGCCAACTTTGAGCCCCAAAGCCCTGGTGACCCCCAGTGCCCGCTGCATGCTGGTACCTGCTTCACCTTGCATGCTGTGTGTGTCCTGCATTCTTGCCTTTGCCCATCAGCCATTGCCATGCAGAACCTGCTGCTCCTACCATGAGGGGCATGGCCCAGGAAACAGGCTACCTTTCTTATTGGTTCTTATAGATGGGTGGCCCAGCTCATGCCTGGAGAGGCCCAGGGTGTTACTCCTTGGCTCTTGGCCACTCAGCACGTGGCCCCTGTCCAGCAGCTGGCCTGTACCTTTGGGAAGAAAGGAGGGGGAGGCCAGGGGAGTGGGCAGCAGACATAGGCCAGCTGCTATGCAGGCCCTGCTTGCTAGGACTCCTCCACACTACTCCCCACCCACACTTCAGCAGCCCTCTGAGGGCCTCCAGGTGACCTGGGCCACAAAGGAATATGCCCTGTTATTTGCCACTTTACCCTGGCCTGGGCTCCGTCCCTCTGCTATGCCAGGACCTGGGAGTGTTCATGAAGTCCAGCCTCAGACCATGCTGACGCTCTTTCTTCTGTCCTCCCCAGGGCATCGAGCGCCTCAAACGAAAGAATCAGCCCAGGGAGCACACGGCCAACTGGAGTTCGGTGAAAGACACCTGTGGCGGGGACTTCTCCCTGAACTGGTTCAACCCCTTCTCCAGACCATGGCAGCCAGAGATGCCCAGTGACAAGGACTTGGTGCGGCAGGTATCATCACTGTCAGATGTAGAGAGCACCCAAACGACAGAGGAGCATTCAGAAGAGATAAAGGACGAGGACTCTGTTGAGGTGCTAGATGAATAGGTGTTGTGGGAGACAACCAAACACTTAAAGTGGCTACTAAACCGTGTTCGGGGGTTTTGGTTAATGTCCTTCCCAGAACCTCCTGACACTTCTCCCAGGCTACTTGCCTGGTCTTACCATCCCAGTGACCCCCCTCCTTCCTCTCTTGATGTTGGGATAGACTAGGGACAGTGAAGAAGGTAGGGACTTCTCTGAGTTGGCCTAGGAAGAATGCCCAGAGAGGGATGTCAGGTCTCATTCTCCAATCTGGGGGGCTTTCACAGCTACTGCTCTCAAAGAGAGCTCCAAACAGGGCAGCCCAAGAACTCATTTCTGGCTTTCAGGGGGATGCTGTCATCTTTTGGGAAGGTTGGGGCCCTGGCTCCTGGCTAGTGATGGAAGGGCAGGACAGGGCTGGCTTTGGGGACCTGAGGTGGAGTACTGATGTCAGGAGAACCTATCTACAGCTGCTCTCTGGAAGGATTTTCCCCACTCTCTGCCTAAATTAAGAGAAAGGCATGGCTGTCACATCTGCTCTCAAGACCTCAGGCTTGAGGGCTGGGGATACAGCTCAGTTGGTAGAGTGCTTGCCTCATATGCACAAGGCCCTGGGTTCAATCCCCATCACCACCAAAAAAAAAAAAAAAAAAAAGACCCCAGGCTTGGCTTGAAAGACGACCCTGCATGCATGTGCAGGAACTGCCCAGGATGGAAGTAAGCCTGGGTTTTGACATTAGCATCAAAACTTAGTTCTGTTCCATAGACAATAGAATCTTCCTCCAAATAGCTTTAGCTGCCCTGCCTCGTGTCTCCTCCATTCACAGGAGAGACATGGGCAGGACCTGTCATTTAACTTTCCCTCCTGGAGGGAGCCTAATACCAAAACACTCATGGGCAGAAATGACCAGAAATTCTATCTATGTTTTGGGCCAGTTCTCCCAAGGTGGTACCTATCCTTTCTCTCAGACAGAATGATAATGGCCTGGGCCTACAGACTGATGATGAATCTAGGAGACAGACACCCCCACCCACTAGTTCTGCCAGGATGAACCTGGATGTAGTGAGCCCCCATAAACCCTGGGGTACCTGGCCATTAGTGAAGGTCTGAGCAGGCCCTCTGCTGAGAAGCCCCATTGTAGTGGTTTCTGAAGCAACAGCTACTGCAAAGTCTAACTGAAAGGTCCCTATCCCCATCAGATATAAGAAACACCCTGCTTTCCAACTCCTAGCTTGGCCTTTGTTCCTACCCATTTCCCTGGTATAGTCTGGCCCCAAGATGGGGGGAGATGAGGCAGAACGTGCCCTTGTAAGGTCTCCATGTCAGGACGCCCCTCCTAGCTATAGGTGAAAGGGCATGAGTCCCAGCCCAAAGGGACCTGTGGCCCCAGTTGAGTAAAGAAGAAAGTCACTGTTTGGAGATACAGCCTCAGGACACTGAGAAAGGAAGGCTAGCCAAGAATGGTCTTGTTCTTGGACAGCATCCTTGGGCAATCCCTAGAGGGAGGGGATCCATCGGAGAATCCTCTGTCTACACCTAATGCCCCACCAGGCTCTGCCATGAATTGCCCAGAGGGGCCGGTTCACAAAGCCCCCTCTATCCTAACCCTCACTTACAGCTCTCCAGCTTTGTTCCATGAGATGGGTGACAGTCGGACTCTAGTGTAGAAGGACCAGGAAGGTGTTGGCCTTCCACCGCCAGGCTGAAGGCCTGTTTTCTTGGTCCAGGTCAGCTTTCACATTGATCAATGCCAATGCACCAGTGACACAGTGGCTTTTTTCCACGGTGGCTACTGACACGTAACGTTCTGCTTAGCCCCAAACTGAAAGCACTACACCTGACATCCAAGCGAGACAGGGTTTTTCAGGGAGGGAGGTGGGGTGCAAATCTTCACCTCTTTGAATAAAAAGCTCTGTGCTCAACCTCTGGAAGAATCTACTGTTTCTAGGAGGAGATCCCAGTCCAAGTCCTTGGGCAGCACCCTTCCTTTCAAGTCACCTTGAGGACACCTCTAGGAACACTGCTTTCATCCAGTTCCAGTATGCCAGACAGGTGTCACACAGACACCTGTGATGGCTGTATCGCCTCAGGTCCAAATGCTGCACCCTGGGATTACTAACCAGACCCGTGGGCTCCTGCGTAGTGTTTCCAGCAGAGGGAAAAGTCACTCTTCATCCAAAAGGCAGTCACCAAACACCTGCGGTGTCCCAAGAGTGATTGGGATTGAGGTTTGTTAACTTCAAGTGCCTGAAAGGGGGACAATGGATGGCAGGCATTGCACCCCTGAATCACACACGTGGTGACCCTTATTCAACCTGCACATGTGCCTCTGCCAGGGTCCCTGTGCTCTTGGACTTGTAGCCCTTGAGAGAGAGGCTGGATGTCCCAGTCAGGACCCAGAATTAAAAGCCATCCCCTCAGAGAACCCTGCCATGTGATCCTCCCCATTAATTAGCTTGTTGACATAAAGAAGTGACCCGGGGAGCCAGGCTAGTGGCTAATGCCTATAACCCAGCAACTCAGTAGGCTGAGGCAGGAGGATTCCAAGTTCAAGGCCAACCTCAGCAATTTAAAGACCCTCAGCAATTAGTGAGACCCTGTCTCAAAATATAACAGGATTGGGGATATAACTCAGAGGTTAGAGTCCCAGTACCAAAAAAAAAAAATGTCTACCATTTGAACAAACCTCCAGGGGGCAGAAAAAATGGATTTCAGTTAGAGAAGAAGGGCCCTCTTTTCCAGAATGATGTACCTCCAGAACAGACCCCTACTCAAGCATCAGGGTGCAGGCAATAGGGTCTCTCTCCTAGCTTTGCCCAGAGTAGCAGATGGACCTGCTCTACTGCTTAGGGCCTTGCTTCTGCTCAGCCTGAGGCATCTGAGAAAGAATACCCGTGCCCATCTGAGACAGCAAAGTCTCAGGACAGGGAGAACCTGGCACCTGGCCTGGGGACATCTCCAGTGTGGTTTCCTACAGGGCCTATCTGCCTATAGGCTTCCCTTGGGCCCAGTGGGGTCTTCAAGCAGGCTAAGAGATGCCCAGTTGGCAGATGCCCCAGCACTGGTGAACCCATGGCCTGAAGAGATGGCAACTTGAAGCCCCACTGAGTACCAGCTCTGGGCTTCATGGAGGGGATGTGTGGTTTTGCAGGTCTTAGGCTCTGAATCTAGACAATGGTAACACTACTTTTTGAGGCCATGACTCGAGGGATGGATGTTCTGTGGCCTAGGCTAGGTGTTGCTAGCTGTAAAAGAGGTGTCCTAGCTGCCTGTGGTTTGCATTGCCTTTGAATACCTTATCTTTCACCTGGCTGGCTTTTGAATCTACCCTCACATGACTAATCAAATCTAATCATCCATGATCTGAAAGCAAAGCATGAAGTGAGAAATGCTGAAAATATTTCCATAATTGGGATAATATGAAACTCAAGTCTCCAAGAAGGAAAATATGGAGCCAAATTTTTCAAGGTTCTTGTAGTGAAAGACATCTTAGTATTTAAACAAAACAAAACAAAACAAAAAAAAAAAAAAACTACACAAGACTAGTTTTTGTTATTGTTATTTTTGGTACCAGGGATTGAACCAAGGCA